TTCTCTTTTTTGCTGATATTCCAGTTTACCAAGCATGATCTCCCTCTAGGGCCTGGTACCTCCTGATAGCATGTCCAGAATGAGAAATGAAGTCTCACCGTCCTTGCTTCCAAGTTGTAAAACAGCTGCTAGTTAAGGTGAAGAATGAGAGTGCCTAGTCCAGAAAAGTAGAGAGTGCTTCACTGAAGGATGAGACTCTCCACCCGGAGAGTGAGTCAACCTTCTGGAGAAGCAGCTTTCCAAGAGGCTATGGAGCACTAAGATCCAGCCGAGACACAGAGAGGGGAGAAATAAATGTGACTAAGAGGAGGAGATGGAGGAAAAGAAATTGCATTACTGAGGCTATGCGACAGCTTCCATTCACCTTACACTAAGGAAATCAGAAGAGTTTTCAGGAAAAGAAACAGGCCATAGGAGGAGGAAGGGGCCCAGCTTCTGGACCCAGGGAAGGAGACCTGGATGGAGCAGGAGTGAAAGTGGGTATAACAGGACCATACCCAGCTAGCTCCAGCCAAATCAGCGTGCTGGCCTCCATTAGCTCCAGCCAAATCAGTGTGTTGGCCTCCAGGACAATGATGTCCAGGAAGGGACAGAGATAAGCATTACTTTTTAGTCCTGTCAGTAAAGGAAATGAACCATTCCGAATCAGAGAACACAGGAAACTATTGGAATGTCTTCCTCAGTTCTCCCAAGGGCAGTACATAGCTGCATAACCATGCAGTTAATTCATTATACACAGTGATGTGCAGGGACAGGCAATCTACGGTTGCCGGGGCATTCTGCAGTGTCAGGACCTTTGAGCTCATGTTTCTCAGCTATTATCTATACACCCAGATTCTTACTCATGGTCTAAAATGAATGTTTGAGCTCTAGCCATAATGCCCCCATTGCAGACTGCAGAAAGAGGGCAGAAGAGGGGCATGTACCCTCCCTTCAATGACATCGTCCTTTTTTAAAACATCAAAACATCATTTTATTGAGGGCTCTTACAGCTCTTATAACAATCCATATACATCACTTTTATCAAGCGTATTTTTAAAAATCACTTTATTGGAGGCTCCTACAACTTGTATCACAATCCATAATAAATCCATGTGTCAGTCGCATTTGTACATTTGTCGCCATCATCATTCTCAAAACATTAGC